AATACTATTCACCAATAAAAAGGAATGGACATTCAACAACATGGTTAACTCTCAAGGCATTATACTGAGTAGAAAAAGCCAGTTCGAAAGGTTATATAATATATGATTATATTATATGACATTCTCAAATATAAAATAGGGTGATGAAGAACAGATCAGTGGTTTTCAGGGAAGGAAGAAGGGAGAAACATGACTCTAAGGGGATAGCATGAGAAGGATTTTTGGGGTGGCAGAACTTTTCTGTATCCTATTTTATATGAACCTATACATTTGCCAAAATTCATGTAATGATACTGAATAAATAATGAAAAACTGCAAATCTAATAGAATTCTTATGCTCATAAATACGTTCAGTTGTGCCTTGGTACCTTCTTTTCTCTGGCAATCTACTCATATCTGAAAGTAAATGGAAAACTAGGAATTGATTGATCAAAATTGACATTACTAATGAAGTATCAGAGATATATATTAACTTGATGAGATTAATTTTAGTAGAAACCAGTTCTTTTATGGATAATTTTAGCTTCATTCTCATTCTTGTATTTATTCATACCAGAAATATATATTGAGCACCTACTATGGGCCAGGAAGTATTTTAGGTACTGGGATACAACAGCAAAAAAGCAAAGTGCCTGTCCTCACATATCTTACTTTCTACTGGAAAGAAATGGACCAAAAAAAAAACAAATAAAAAATCCACAAATAAGTATAGGGAACATGAGGGATAAGAATTCCTGTGAAGGAAAAAGCAGAATGGAGGGTTAGAGACTGAAGATGGTTGGGAGAAAGAGAGAGTTGCTATTTTAGATGCATTGGTGCTGGAAGGGGCACCAAGAAAGAGATATTTATTTTGGCAAAAACGTGACAGAAGATATGGCTATCTAGATATTCCAGAAGAGGGTAAAATAAGGACTAAGACCCTGATGGGATTCTGGATCTGAGGTGTTCACAGAACAGCAAGGAAATGAGAGCAGCTAAAGCAGCATTAGGAGGGAAGCTGTGGCAGTTTGGTGGCCATGGGTCACATCTCTCAGTGTAGTCCATTTAAAGAGTGAGTGAGATGCAAAACCACTAGCAGTTTTAGGGAACAGATTCAAGATCTGAAATGTGTTTTAAAAATAATTGGGGCCGGGCGCGGTGGCTCACACCTGTAATCCCAGCACTTTGGGAGGCCGAGGCGGGCGGATCACGAGGTCAGGAGATCGAGACCATCCTGGCTAACACAGTGAAACCCCGTCTCTACTAAAAATACAAGAAATTAGCCGGGCATGGTGGCGGGTGCCTGTAGTCCCAGCTACTCGGGAGGCTGAGGCAGGAGAATGGCCTGAACCTGGGAGGCAGAGCTTGCAGTGAGTGGAGATTGCGCCACTGCACTCCAGCCTGGGCGACAGAGCCAGACTCTGTCTCAAAAAAAAAAAAAAAAAATTGCTCTAGGCTGGGTAGAGATTAGATCTCAGGGTGGCAGAGAGATAAATTATGGTGCTATTGAAATTACCAGAGTATGAGATAATGATGACTTGAACTAGGTGGGGCTAGAGATGATCAATAGTTTATCAAATTACAAAGCACATTAGCATAAAGGCTCACATTACATAAATATTTCAGTGTAATAAAAAAATTAAAATGCTAATTTTTTGTTCCTCAATAGCCTAGTTAGCATTCCATAACAACGCATTCATTTTTCTCAGTTTGATTTTATTATGAAATTATTATGTATTTTTTTATTTGCAGCATTAGGTTAAAGGAATAATCTATTTTAAGTGGAAAGACACAGCATATATCAAGATCTCTATAAAAATCCAAGGCCATATTTTGGAAGTTATATTAAATATAATAATGTCATAAGGAGATATTTGGAAAAAATGAGATTGATGATTTTCTCCTTGTATCTTACTGGAATTATTTGAGGATAAATAGTTTTTCAGAACAAGCAAGACAAACAAGATCCTCCTCACTGCCAAATCAGTGAACTTCTCAAGTTCAAAAGAACTCTTTGGCTACTGCCTAGAGCCATTTCCTCATTTTTGATGACAGCAAATGAGTGGTTCATTTTCTGTTTTACAGTGTTATGCCCTTCAGCAAATTCTGAATAAAACTGCTGCACTTGTTTGGTGAGAACTTTTTCAACATTTCATGCTGAACATATCCACTGTTCATAACCAGAGCAGATAAGTTCAAAGACTAAAGGCAGCTTTCAAAACACAAATGCAAAATAAAATGAAAATATAATAATGTGAAACTTCAACATTGATTTGCCAATGATCTGTCTTGAGTTGTTTATAAATCTGACCATACCTTTGCAGTGCCAACCCAGGCTGTGCAATGAGACATTTAGGACCAAGATTCCGAACAATTCATGCATGTTTCACAGGCCAAAGTTCAACTCATCGTTTAAAACTTTTACTCAAGACCTTACAGAATCAAGTCATGCGTTCTACGAGTCAAAACATCTGCTGGTGCACTGTTCACCTCCTTGTAAACATTGCCTAATATATGGAGGAAAAAAGTCATATAAAACAAGGTAGTCATGACAAATGTTCAACACTGTCAGCATAGTCAAGAGTCACCACTTCTCCTGAATATATTTGGTGCTACTTCTGTTAAGCAAAATAACTTCCAAACGTAAAATTCTGGTACTTAAAATTCAGGCATAAAAACATTTTCCTGGGGCTAATGTATATTTAAAATTTCTACCAATGTCTATGTGTCAGCACTCAACCATGACTTCAGTTTACTGTCAACACACAGACAAAGATTATGCATAGACCATATTGATCAAATTATTTCTTATCAGAGTCTCATTGAAATGCAAAATGGTTAGTACTTAGAAAACCATATGAATCAATTATCCTAATCTGGAACTTGCAGACAGAATGTCAAATGAAATTGTAAGGTCTTATTTTATCTGCATGTGAAATTGAGAGCTGAGAAATATGAGTTTGCTAAGGCTATTTTTGGTTTGTTAATGGCAGTAACAATGCATGCTCATAAAAAACTTATTTTGTCAGGTATGAGTAACTTCTATGGACTTTCTCATCTTTAGCTCATTTATAATAACTTCTAATTCCTGACTTAAACTGTAAGATAGAAAAGAAGACGTGGAAAAAGAGAAGAGTAGTTCAGATTCAGTGTTTGAATGTGAGGTGTTTGTAGGACTTTCAAGTAGAGATGTCCAGGAAGCACTGAACTTGTACATGTCATGGCTTAGGAGAGAAACCTGGGCTAAAGATGCAGATTTCTGTCAAAGGATATTGGTGCTAGAAGTAGCTATGTATGTGGAAAAATAAGGAGACACGAGGAAGAGAAGTCCTGGGCACACCAATGTTTATGGGATAGGTAGAAGGGAAGTCCCTGAAGAGAAGGGAAAATAGAGGACAAAAACAGGACATGGTGTTAAGGCTAGGGTGGAAAGCGTTCAAGGAAGGGAGAATGGCCAACAGCATTATCAGGTGATGCTGAGACATCTGTCTCATGAATTTGACTAGTCTAGGTACTTCATATAAGTGGAATCAGACAATATTTTCCCTTTTGTGGCTGTCTTGTTTCACTTAGCATATTATCCTCAAGTTTCATCCGTGTTGTAGCCATATGTCAGAATTTCCTTTCTTTTTGAGGCTGAATAATATTCCATTGCACCAGGATGCCATGGATAAGAATTCTTAATGTGCATCTAGTAACCTAAACTTTATGGACATACTGTCTAAAAAAGTTATTAAAAACTGAAAATTGAATTTTGATTGAATTGGTTGAAACAATTGGAAGGTATAGAGTCCTGAAACTACAAATTAATTTAGACAGTTTCTGATAAATAACATTTGTACTTTCTCTAGCATAGAACAATTAATAGTGGGGGAAACAAAACAATAATAAGAGTTTAAATTGTATGAGTATATGATTATTCAGATAATTTTGGTCTTTCTTCTTAAATGCTGTGACAGTTTCAAAATGAGAAAGATGGGTAGTGGTTGTACAACATTGTGAATATACTGATGCCATTGAATTGTACACTTTAAATGATTAATTGTATGTGAATTTCATCTCAATGAAAAAAAATGCTATAATAGTGGAAATGTTCCTTAAGCTTGGAATTGGAGTTGTATTTTTACTACAAATGTCATATCCTATGTGTTGGTATACAATGCTGATACATTTATATTATAATTAAATGGATTGATTTAACATTACAGTTCATTATTGATAAAAACAGAAGGAAAAAGATTTTTAGAGATGCCTTTGCACATATGGTTCTCTCTGCTCAGTATCTTTTCCAAAGTTTGTTCATCCTGCAAGGCCCAACTTATTTGCCATTTTCTTATGAGAGTCTTCCTCATCACATAAAAATAAGTGTTTCCTTCTTTTTATACTCTATTATAGCACTTAACCTCTGCCTGGTTGGGTCTGTTCCCTCTGCTGAACTGAAGGTTTCTTGAGAACAGGATCATGCTCTCTTCCCCTTTGTATTTATCAATCATATAGAATATATACAGTCAATGCTAGTTATGTTAAAACTTACTGTATATAGAGCATTGAGCAATGTCCTTCTGATGACAGTCAGTGTTCTTGAAACAGTTAGATACAGTCAGTATAGATCAACCATTCATACATGAACTCACTTAAGGACAAAGGCAAAACACTTGTCCAATGCAAAATTATAAGCAATATAATAAGCTGGTTATGACACAATTATCTGTAAAATAGTATGGGTGTGTATCAAATTATTTCTCAGGTAACAAAATGCCAAACAGAAAGAATTAATGTGTGCGCCAAATATTGAGCCTTAGATGTGGCTAGGTTTAAAGATCTGAGGATAAAAACATGCAAAACAAGACATTCTGGAGAGAGAGAAAAACGACAAAGGGAAGTGTGTCATGGGATCCTGGAAAAGAGATTCTTATTAGGGAAGTGGGCAAAGATAATCTGGGTCTTTAGAAAAAGATTAGAAACCTCTGAAGATGTGAATAATGACAAAACGTCTGTAATAGAGTTACAAATTTACTCACATCTCCACTCAGATTTGGAAAGAAAATGTCTCTTCATTTCTCTGTACCAGTCAGATTGTCTCCATTACGTACACCTACAGGGTAGAGACAACAAAAAAGGAAAAAATCTAAAATATAGTCCCATTGGAAAAACTAAATCCATTAGAGTATTAGTCCCCGGTAAAATGAGCAGTATCTTAGAGGTCCTCTTCTTCAGCCGTTATCTGTTTGTGCTGTGCAGCAACACAAACCAGTGGTGCCCTGGTCTGCTGTATGGGTCAAGTGGCAGGGGAGCATCTGTGCAGTGTTCTGGCACCTGCTGAGAAAGTGTAAGCTGGGGGAACTCAGGGTGTGGACATTCTGGACTTGGTCAGGACACAGTTGTCTTCCTGTTGATTCAGCCCCTCCTTAAGCCTCACAACCATTTAGCTACACAGCCCCTGAGCCCTGACTTGAGAGTTCCCTCGACCAGCCTGACTCTCAATTTACTTCCACCTGTCTCCCTCAGGGCACATAGGCACTTGTGAGCCCTATCTCTGACACGCAGGAGGCAGATTACAGGAGGAAGCCACACTCAGGCCTTCTTTCAGTCTACTCTCCACCACCAAGTTGATCTGCTCTGTTGGGCCAGCCAAATATGAGAGTCTTTGGGGGCATCTCATTCCATGTCACACATCTTCTCCCATGAGGACTTCAGCCTGGAAAGAGGAGATCTAGACACAAGTGTCTCTCCGGCTTCCTCAATCTGCCATTCCCTTTCTCTTCCATTCAACTCTTGGGACCAACCGGACAAGATTTTCCTTCTTCCTTTTTGACTAGAACCTCTTTTCCACAAAACTGTATGATTAATCTTGCTAGGCCAGCTTCTAGAAGTTTTAAAGGGGAAAATAAGGAAATTTAGAAAATCCTCTCAGATATGTAGTTTTCACTGTCTGCGCACTGGCTTTGAGAATATCTTTCCTTCTCTGTGTTTTTGTTGAAATTCACCTAATTTCTACTAAATTCCCAAGTCTGACTATGGGAAAAAATATTCACAAAGAAACATAAAAAACATAAGCACATTACATTTCTCAAAATATTACGTCCATATAGTATACCTATCCCCCTAGAACTCTATTCTTTCTCTAACTGGAAAAATATATAGATTATCCTCCTGTGCTCTATGAAATTTTCCTTAAGAGAAAACTGAAGTTTGTTTGATTTCTGAACTTCTAATGCCCTTTCTTTTCATTAATTTTTCCATGTTTGTAGATTCTTTCTTGGTAATTAATGTTACAATCCTTAGTTTTCTAATGTTATAAAAATATGTTTACTTTTAATTATTAAGCAGTTCATATTAATTTCTGGATCTTAAAAAGAAAAGCTAATTGGGTTTGTAAAAGTTTTGAATCAAATATACTAGCATTTAAATACCCTCTTTGAACTCCATTGTGTTATTTTATTTTCTTTATGACCAGTTCAGTTCACAATGCTGATTTTAATCCAAATATTTGCCTTCCAAGATGCTGGTTCTACCATTTACAATCCACACTGTACCTCTTTGCAGAACACTGCTCAGAATTATCTGCAAAGTGAAAGAGAATTTTATTTTCCTGATCTTGTTTGATTATATTTACCTATTGAATTTTTCATTGTGAAACAAGCCCTATGAACATTTACAGAATGCATGTTTCATTTTTTTTCGAAACTCTTTCTAGTAGAGTTGATTCTATACCAGTTGTTTTTAAACAATGGAAATATAAATATATTTTTGTCAAAAGGAAAAATTTGAGAGTGTATATGGCTAACTTATGAGAAGGTGGCTCAAAAATTCAATTATGTGATTTCATCAAATAAAAAAGTAGTTGGCACAGTTTTGACTCTAAGTACCAGTCATATCAGTGGGAAAGGATATTTAAGCTAGAAGTTATAGACATAAATCCATCTTAATTATTGTGCATTTTCCCTACTGTTCTATCAGATTACCATGTATAGCAACTCGCCATTCAGCAGTTACTCATTTCTAAGGTTGTAAATGTCGAGAAATACCAGACTATCATCCTGGACTCCATAGTGTTGATTGTTTTATGTGTGTGTATGTGGTTTCATACCCCAGTGAGTCATTCTGCCAAGAACCTTGAGAATATCGGTCTAGTCTAGACATTTCAATCTTAATGATTGATGCTCAGCTTTGGCATAAGATTATGCATCATTAGAAAGAGGATGTGGGTGTAAAATGGTTCTGTGCAAATACAAACATTATATACTTAAGCCCACAATATCTTGACTAGTCATTTCCTCTGCTAAACCTTTCCATTCCCACTATTTTTTTTTAAATCATCACTTGTATCACCAACTGCTCATCAGTAAACCTCGTATCTCTAGAATAATCTCTGCTGTCCTATTTGTATTTCTAGCATACACTATGATGTCTGACTTAGTAGCTTCATAAAAATCTATTGAATTGGCCAAGTGTAATGGCTCACGCCTGTAATCCCAGCACCTTGGGAGGCTGAGGTGGGCAGATCACCTGAGGTCAGGAGTTTGAGAGCAAACTGGCCAACATGGTGAAACCCTATCTCTACTAAAAATAAAAAATTAGCCAGGCATGGTGGTGGGCTCCTGTAATCCCAGCTACTTGGGAGGCTGAGGCAGGAGAATCACTTGAACCCAGGAGATGGAGGTTGCAGTGAGCCGAGATCATGCCATTGCACTCCAGCCTGGATGACAGAATGAGACTCCGTCTCAAAAGAAGCCAAAAACCAAAACCAAAACAAAACAAAAATGTATTGAATGAATACTGACTTCAAGGGACTCAGGAGAAAGCCATCTTGTATGTACCTCTGATATTTTCATCCAACACTTCTTTTCCTCAATCTATTTCCTAGGTATTTCTACAGCTTCTAGGATTTTGTCACTGTTCCTCACAATGTTCTCCTATTTTGTCAACCAGTAGATATAATAGCTCTGAATGGTCATACATATGTTACTGTTATCAGGGTTTTTTGTTTTATAGGAAAATTGAAGAGAATTGGAGATTTTAAATTTGGGAGAATGTCTTTGGGAATATCAGTCAATTGAGGATGAATAAATCTGCTAGTGATCATCATAGCAATTCCTATGAAAGTTTAAAAAACCGGATATCAGTTTCACCCCATGCTACTCTTGGGGGGCTCCGATCTTTAGAAGAGTTTGGACTCAACTTGGTAAACACATTTTGAACCCAGTACACCTCTCATGAAACATCTTGATGAGCATGATATAGAGGGCATACCTTGCCAAAGAGTAAAGATATATATTTTATCTTTAATGAGAAAAATGCTGATTTTTCATGGGATAAGAACAGGAAATCCTTTTAGAATCATCAAGGGCAACATCAAAATGGGAAATATAGTATGGAAAGTTCGATTTTCCTAGGAAGAGGAGAGTAAAAATGCTCTGCCTTTTGAAATCTGGAAAGAAAAAAATGTCCACTGCTTTGTTTGAGCCAAAATCAAGGCTGTATGACAGCTGATATGTTCAGTTGTTAAATGATAAGCAATTCTATACTGGTTGGTATAATAGCTGCTGCTGCCATATTTGCCCTATTCCTTTTCCTGTAAATAGGAAAAGGAGAGTAAGAGTGTTCTTTGGGTTTGGGGATTTGGAAAGAAAAAATGCCCAATGCTTTGCTTGAGCCAAAATCAAGGCTGTAATACAACTGGTATGTCCAGTTGTTAATTCATAAACAATTCTATATTGGTTGGTATAATATCTGCTTTATTTGCCCTATTCGTTTTCCTGGAAATAGAAGAACTTCCAGTTAAGTAACTAATTGGTGAATGCTCAGGGATCTCCAGGACCCCTCCTAGCACTACAGCTTGCTTTAGTCCTGTTTCATCTATACCCAGATTGTGTTAGCCCAGCTGGAACATTCTGAGTTTAGACCTGCCAAACATGAGGTGGTAGAATCCCTTTCATAGCAAACCAGCACCCAAGATAACAAGCAGAGCTTCAGAGGACCCAGCCCCAGCCAGTCTGCCAATGTCCAAGATTGAGGTCAGCTTCATCCCTTACAACTCTAGTGCTCCACCAGAGGGATTCTACAGCCCCCCAGTTCCTCTGGCATAACTGTCATCATATTTTGAAACCATCTGCCTGCAGAAAACAGCAATCCATGCCCATAGAATTGGTCCACCACAGCCAAGTCCTCATAGCCTATGCTCTACACTTCATACCTGTGAAACAACAAGGAGTATGAAGATCTTCAACCTAAACAGCTGAGGTGACTTTGGGGAACAGTCTACCATGCATAATGCTGGGAGAGGCCTGTATCCACCCAAGTCAAAGTATTACTGGTAACTTGGCCCACAACTTTCCAAGGCTAATCTTTATTCTCTTTGACAGGCAGGGCATTGAGATAGGAACAACCCAGTCTGGACTGAGACATCAAACATGCAAAAGCACCTGTGAACTGTGGAGAGTTAATATATATTACTTCTTCCTGAAGTGTACTTAGACAAAATACTGAAAAATAAATAATCATGCTCTCATTTGGAAGAAAATTCTTTGCTCTCTCTTTTTTTTTTTTTAATATTGATCAACTTTCTTCTTGATCTCAATAATCTATCGCCTTTTTTGTCTAGCTTTTCACTATAACACCTATTTCTCATGGTTGTTGACCTCCCAAAGATGTTCATGACCTAATCCCAGGAACTTGTCACTATATGACTATATTATGTTACATGGCAAAAGGTTATTAAGGTTGCAAGTAGAATTAAAGTTGTTTATCATCTGACTTGAAAACAGGGAGATTATCTTGGATTATCTGCATGAGCCCAATCTTTAAAAGCAGAGAAACTTCCCTGACTTTCTGGCCAGAAAGAGAGACGTGACAACAGAAGAATGGCCAGAAAGATGCAACTTGAGAAGGATTCAACCCAACTGTTATGGGTTTTATGTTTGTGTCCCTTCAAAATTCATTTTGAAACTTGATCTTCATTGTGATGGTCTTAAGATGTACGGCCTTTGCGGAAGTGATTACAACACCAGGGCTCTGTCTCCAGGATAAATGGGATTAATGTCCTTATAAAAGAGTCTTCAGAGAGCTGCATAGTCCTTCAATCTCTTCTGTCAT